ATTTATTTATTTATTTATTTATTGGTGGAACCAGGGATTGAACTCAGGCCCTTGCGCTTGCCAGGGAAGCGCTTATTCCACTGAGCCATCTCCCCAGTCCCTTAGATACTTTAAAATGGTAAGATACATTGACTGAGTGTGGTGGTGCATCCCTGTAATCCCACCACTCACAAGGCTAATAAGGCAGGCAGGAGGATCATTTGTGAGTTCGAGACCAGCTTGGGCTACAAAATGAGCCAAAGCCAGCCTGAGCTCCATAATAAGACCATCTCAAAAAAAAAAAAAGTAAGATACAGCAATGCCAAGGATCCATATTTGATCTGACCACGCACCAGCTTTCCTTAGACCTCTGGATCCCTCTGAGGGGTTAGTGAATTAAATGGGAGACCAGAAGCCTGTGTGTGTGTCTCGCAGCTGCACAGGCCCTCTCCCAGGGTGGTCACCGTGTATCGTATCCTGGGCTCCAGTCCTTGCGTGTTTGTGTGTGTGTAGATTTCACAAGTGACAGATCTGATGCGTTTACTAAAGCCCTCTCCACAATGACCTTCCCTTTCAGGAAGTGTTAAACATGCTGAAGGAAAGCAAGGCAGACATCTTTGTGGACCCTGTTCTTCACACAGCATGTGCCCTGGACATTAAGCACCACTGTGCAGCCATCACCCCCGGCCGCGGGCGCCGTAAGTCCCTGTGCCACTGAGCCCTGGCTGTGTTCTCTTGGAAGTTGTAACTTCACTGCCCAGTTGCAGGCAGCAACCCCTGGAGGACAGGTTCCTGCTGCTAAAACTTGGCCTTTGAGGCAGAATGAGTTTAGGAATAGCCCTGCAAGTTTGAAGTGATGTAGCCCTCACAACTAAGGATTTGGTAAAGGGCAAAAATTGTTACTCTTTTTTTTTTTTTTTTAAATTGAGTTACTCATTAAAGAAGCAAAAAGTAAGTATAACCATGGCTGTTTCCCCCACCCTGGCCCAAACTGAGTTTCCCTAAGAGCCTCAGAAGGCACAATAGGCCGCTTATGTGAGATGGGAACCCAGCGAGGTATAAAAGTCGTTCTGAGCCCACTGTGCCCAAGGAAAATAAGAGAGGTCTCACCTGGCAGTTGCATCCCACCCCTCACCATGTGGGACCTGCATGAAGTTCCCAAGAATAGACTCAACTTTCTTGAGTCTTAATAGTTGTTGGATAGTTGGGGATCCTTCTCCCTGACAGAGGTCTCTGTCCTGCACAGTTGCAGACCATTCTCCCATTTCCTCCTACAGAAATGTCCTGCCTCATGGAGGCCCTGGAGGATAAGCGGGTGCGGTTACAGCCCGAGTGCAAAAAGCGCCTCAATGATCGGATTGAAATGTGGAGTTACGCGGCCAAGGTAAGGACCAGGAGGGTCTCTAGCGTGGCCATCCCGTCTGTCAGTTTCTGTCTTTTACAGGGACTTGTTCTTGTCCTTGCTAGGGAGACAAGCAATAGGCTTGAAAAATCAGTCGGTGAGCCTTTAAAACTCCCTGGCTAGGGCCCGGTGTACAGGCCGGTGGTGAGACACATCACGCACGTTAAAAAAAAGAAATCCCAGCGTTGTTGGCTTATTTCTATCATTTTACACAGCCTTTGGGAGACCAAGTGCATAGCCGGCCTAGGCCACAGAGGAAGGTGAGGTAACAGGAGCTTCAGGATTTGTGGAGCACATGCCTGCAGGCCAGGGGGAGAGCCATAGACAGCGCTATGCGTATTGCTTGTAGTTCATAAAACACCCACTGGAACCTCAGAGTCCCGTGATGTGATGTAAGTAGGGTGATTATTTCCTCGCTTTACCATGGAGGACAGTGATGTCAGAGGTTATGGCTTCCCCTTGGTCCCTTGGGGTTTTAGATCCATACTTCTTCTTTTTTTTTTTTTTTTTTTTTAATTATTTATTTAGTGTGTGTGTGTGTGTGTGTGTGTGTGTGGCCAGCTTAGCCCACCAGGGGGCGGGGCTGGCTGGCATGTGGTGCTGGGGGATTGAACCGCGGTCCCTGTGCTTTGCTTAGCTTAGCTTGTTCTAAGTAGGTGCTCTAGACCACTGAGCCATCTCACCAGCCTAGATCCATACTTCTGTATCAGCTCAAGACAGTGATCTGCTCCATGGCCAGTTTTGTCACTCAGCTGGTCCAGGTCGAGGTAACAAGCTAACCTGCACCAGCCAGGTATAGTGGGATGTGTCCAGCTACTTGGGTGGTTGAGGCAGAAGGGCCATGCAATCCTCAGAGCTCAGCAAGACTGTTGAAAGAAAGGAAGAAAAAAGAGAGGAAGAAAAAGAAAAGAACGATCAAGAGCTCAGAACAAGACTGTCAAGGAAGGAGGGGAGGGAGATAGGTGAAGAAGAACAAGGCTCGGGGGAATAACCAGAGAAAGCCCTGGCGCCTCATAGAAGGGACGTGCAGGGAGGACCATACTTGTGTGGGTTTCACAGAAGCCAGCCCCACTGCCCCTGCACTCTCCCTCCAGGAGAAGAAGTCCCCCTGGAAGCAGCAGACAAACCCTTTATTGCCCTTTCTCCTCATGCTGGTTTCTGCTCCTTTTCACCACTTCCTGGGGCCGAGGGGCTCAGTGTATGCTTTGTTCTGTGCTAGAATTGCAGGTCCTCTAACCTCGCTAGCCCACATCTGCCAGCTGTGTTCCGTGTACATTGGAGTGAGGGCATTTTCTGGTCCAGACCCTTCCCAAGTACCCTGAGGCTCCAGAAAATACTTTTTTTTTTTGTTGTTTTTTTTTTGTTTTTTTTTTGTATTTAGTGCAGGGTCTCACTACACAGATCAGACTGGAAACTCCTGTTTTCAGTCTCTCAAGCACTGGGATTACAGGCATGTGCCACCATGCCCAGTCTCAATTGCCATCTCAGCTCACCCCTGGGGCAGGGCCTGCACGGCACACCAAGGATTGAACCCCAGTCCCTGCATCTGTGTAAGCAAGCACTTTAATCTTTTTTTTTTTTTTTTTTTCCAGAAGGCTAGGAATTGTGTGTGTGTGTGTGTGTGTGTGTGTGTGGCCAGCTCAGCCCACCGGGGGGCGGGGCTGGCTGGCATGTGGTGCTGGGGATCAAACCACGGTCCCTGTGCTTTGCCAAGCTTGTTCTAAGTAGGTGCTTTAGACCACTGAGCCATCTCTCCAGCCTTTTTTAAGTAATTTTTTTTTTTTTTTTTTTTTTTTTTTGTGGAACCAGGAATTGAACTCAGGTCCTTGAGCTTGCCAGAGAAGCGCTTATTCCACTGAGCCATCTAGGCTAGGAAATTTTTATGGGCAACCAGGGACACAGCCATAAGAGAGGGAAGCACACAGGACTGCAAACTAAAACCCAACAGCTAGCAAAGGCCCCTTGGGCCAGGAACACTGCATACTGGGGGCCTCACAGTCTCTTCACCAGTAAATACACAACACAGGGCAGCCAAGACAGGAGGCAACAGCTCATGTGTCCCAGCTAGTGACAGAATATATACTTCACTAAGAGCGACAGGGTAAGGAGATACAGAGGAGGGAAGACTCATCATTGCCTAAGACGACCACCTCCTCTCAGAGCCAGCCCCAGGTGGAGGACAGAAGACGCCTAGAGTCTTATAGTCAGCTGCTGTCTTCCCATCATTCATCTGTTTGCCACTATAGATGAGCTGCTACTGTTGTGGCAGGTTTCCTTCTTTATCCTCGACATGCTCCTTGATTTACTCCACCTTGTCTGTGGGTTCAGTGTCAATCTCCATCTCCTTTCTGGTCAGTGTATTCACCTTCATTAGCATCTTCTTCCCTGGTTGAGGTGGTGAGCGGATACATTCAGGCACTTTAATCTGTTGAGCTCTCTGGCTAGCCATCCAGAAAATACTTCTGCTCGTGGTCCCAGAACCTTTTGATCCTGGTCCTGCTATAGTAGACGGCACAGAGGTCCTCTGGAGATGGTGTAGAAACAGAGTAAAAAGAGTGCACATGTGATATGTAGGGAGTCGGATCTCGGGGAATGCCTGTCCAGTTTGTGCTTGTACATGGTGATGTAATGGTGAGTAAAGCCAAGAGAGAACACACAACACAATCTCTACATGCCTCTGTTTCACGCAGCAGTAAGCATAGTGAAGAACATAAGTCAAAAGCTACAAGGTCCTGAGTTCAGTCCCCAGTACTGCAAAAAAAAAAAAGTCAAAAGCTAGGAACCCTCATGACCTTCTACCAGTGTTCCAACCCCCACACCCATGCTAGCCATGGGTCCTCATCTATGACTTGGGCGAGATGAGCTTGCCCTTGAGGCTGGGATGAACAGGACACAAGTGGAATCATGGGAGCCCTTGCCCCTGGCAGCTGTGCTCATGTCCAGAGGTTCAAGCGCTGTTCATGTGCCAGCAGAAATGGTCACTATGAAGGAACTGGAGTGACCGTGCCTCTTTGCAGCACCTAAGACTGAACACTGCCAGCTGCCCGCTGTCCCCCAGAGCATCACACTGCTGTGTCTCCTTCCAGGTGGCCCCAGCAGATGGCTTCTCTGACCTTGCCATGCAAGTGATGACATCACCATCAAAGAACTACATCCTGTCTGTGATCAGTGGGAGCATCTGCATATTGTTCCTGATTGGCCTCATGTGTGGACGGATCACCAAGCGAGTGACACGAGAGCTCAAAGACAGGTAGAGCCGCCTTGACCACCAAAGGGACTCCCTGCCCAGTGCCCGGTTTGTACAGCCTTCCTGCATAATGTACCCTTTCACCTCACCCTTCTGCGAGGTGGCACCGACACCCACGGTAGAGCAGCAGCAGGTGCCCACTGATTGTCCCGTCCAGACTTGGCCACGCCCACAATGTCCTCCTCCTCCTCTGCCGCCGCTGTCTGTGCAGTGTCCGCAGCTGGCCACTTTGGTGGTTGCCTTGGCGAACTTGGATTTACTTGCCTGTTGACAGGTCTCTCTCCTGCAGCAAAACTACCAACCGATTCTTCAGAACCAACTCACCTGACCTGCAACTCAAATGCTTTTTTAAAAAAAACTACCAAAAAAGGAAAGAAATTTTTAAAGAAAGAAAAAAAAAATGTATATAGTAACACGCCTCCAGGCTTGACTTGGGCCACAGGGTTATTTCTTCTGTGTAGCTTCGTCAGATGAAAGCAGGACTTGGAGAGGACGCACATGCCCAGTACTCAGTCATAGACGTGTGGCTTATCTCCCAGTAGCACCTTCCGGCCATGCCGGCTGGGGGCTTCACTGGCTAGTGGCTGGAAGCCACGGGCCAGCCTGATGTGGGTCCTGTTTGCTTGCAGCTGTCGCCAAAAGGAGCCACCACTGGTCACAGACCCACGGCCACCAGTATCTCTGATCCTAGCACAGTGCAGTTAAGTCTCGAGCTGAGGGCAGGTGGACAGGGTGGCTCAGAAGTCGGAAGCGGGGCTGCACGTGCGTCTGTAGTGAGAGCCGGATTCTGAGTGTGGGGGCTGGGAGAGCCGCCCCTTCCTCCCCAGACTGCTGTTGGACTGCATGGGTGAGGTCAGCTCTGCTGAAGGTGCCCTTACTTTGGAAAGTCTCTGCCACGAGAGCAGTGACTGAGTGGCAGGGTCCTGGGAAACAGGGTGGAGAAGGCAGGGCCAAGAGGAGAGCAGGGCTCTCACCCACATGGCTTTATTCTCCGGTTGCTGTACAGATCAGAAACAGTGGCTTGTAGAGATCTAATGTGATCTCAGGGGGACTGGTGTCCCACCCAGCCTTCCCGCATGCTCCAGGCAGATTCCAGACAGGTTCCTTCGTGCCCCACATGGAAGGTATGGTGAATGATCACATTAAAAGATGGAGGATTTTCTCTGTTCTTTTATCTCTGTCCATTTGCTGTGTGTACACACCTTAGCAGACACTGGCTAAGTGTGGTACTCTGCTGACTCATCAGCCATTCTGGAATCTGAGCTTTATAGGGGACCTGTTCCTGCCCACCCTCCCCCATCTGTCCTGTGTAGAAGGGACAGGTTTGGGGCACAGGAGGGAGAGGCCTGGGCATATCCGGTTCAGCCTGCCTCACCTTTGGTTGAATTGGGGCCGTGTGTCACAGTGGCTGCGCAGAGGGCAGCATGTACAGTAGGAAATATATTTATATAATATATATTTTATTAGCCTGTTGTCCACAAAGTATTATAAAATCATGTGCCTAAAACTGTCCCAGTAGACCCAGGCCCCTCATGGCGCCCCTCTTCCTCCTACCCACCTGGCACGGCCCACAAGTGCCAGCACCAGAGCGACATCTGTCTTCCTTTAAGTCTGTCCAGTACAAGCTGTGTCCATTGCGGATCAGTGATCCAAATACTCCTTGTCTAGCCTGACTGATGCACCTTTGAGTACTGTGGTTTTCTTTCTTTTCTTTCCTTTGACTGTTTTTGCTGCCTTTCCTAGAGGCAGTGGATTCCACAAGCTGGCTCTATGTCCCTGGCCTAGTGTAATGCAAGTCACCAGTGAAAGCCGCTAAGTCAGCTGGTCCTCATGGTCCTACTCTTAGGGTCTTCCAGCACCTGTTCTGAGAGTCTTACCTGAAGAGACTTGACACACTGCAGTGCACGTACCGTGCATGACTGTAGGCTCAGTGATGAGCTGAGCTCGCCCGGAGGGCTCCTCTTGCCACAGCCTTCGTGGGGTAGGAGGAAGGCATGGGATGCAGCAGACATTACAGTAGTGTGCCCCCCAGGATAGGCTTCCAGTCTGCAGCCTCCCTCCTAATGGTAAAGCATCCTCGTGGTTCTGATGAGTCTCCCTATTGTGTTCTTTCTGAACTGATAGGAAATCCCCTTAGTGGTAGTCAGCAGCAGATTTGGAGGTTTGATGAATTTGTGAAACACTTGTCGTTTATACACAGAATAGAAGGGATAGCTCTGCTGGTACGTGGAATTGGTTGTTACGGGAAAGTCTGCACAGATCCTCTTTGGAATGTTTTCCTATGTCTGGAAAGGTCTTCAACAAATTTTCATTAGTGCGGGGGCCCTGGCGTCATCTGCCCTGGTGGGGTGGCCCAGGCCTGCCCATTCTGCACCTCATTTGGTATCACATTTCACAGGTTCTGAGGCAGCTGGGTCCCTGGTCTCAAGGGTCAGAAGAATGAATGTTTCTGGTAGGATTTAGGCCACGGCTGTAGTTCCAGGTACTTGCTAAAAATTACAGCAGCCAGGTCTCTGGCATCTGGCCTTGCCAACTCATGTCAGTATCTCAGAGACTCTTAGGCAGCTCCTCACCTCCCTCCAAGAATTAGGGAGCCCGCTCCAGGGGTGGAGGCACTGGGGATTGGCGTCCAAAATCTGAACAGAATGCCAAGGACAGGACTAACTTCTGCCTATCACAGGCTCCTCCACAGAAGGGGACCTGCATGAGTGAGTCAGCAGCTACTTGATGCATCCCTGGACTTCTCCGCCATTGCTTCTGGCCCACGACAGGTCTTTTGGTAGGTGTACTGAAAGGATAGCTATTCCCAAGACTTATGACCAGACCCTCACCCTCTGCATTCCTGAGAGACCAGTGGCTACCACTCCCGGGCTGGGTTCTGGGATCCGCCCAGCTTGTCTGAGCCAGTGAGTGCATGCTGAGAAGCCAGGGGAGTTTAAGGCAGTCGTGAGCTAGCATTTAATGAGCAGATGTGACTCGGCGCTCACCTCACCACAGGTTGCTTGGCAGTGCTGTATCCTGTGCTTGTTCTCCTGGGAAACAACAAAAGCCTTGGGTGGGGAGACACTTTCCTAGGAAATGTAATAGAAAGGTTCTGCCAGATTTCATGTCTTCCTATTTCCTGAGGTCAACTGATAGAAGAATCCAATGTCAAGGACGTTGCTATTTGCATTTTATCAGAAAACTGGTAATTATGTAGTTCAAAGGCCTTTGACCTTCCGAAGACTTTTGGAACTGTCAGTCCTCTCCACCTGTAGGTCTGTTGTACCGCTTCTGTCCTAAAGATGTCCCTTAGTGAATCAGTGAGGGGGAGAGGGCTCCCTGGGCCTCCTTTCTGAACTGATCTCAAGTGTGTTTGAGCAAAGGCCTTCCTTTCCCATTCCTCCACAGCCTATCACAAAGCCCCCTTCTCACGTGCACCCTCTCAGGGTGTAAGGATGCTTGGGCCCCAGAAGTCAGCCAGCCAGGCCTGCCACTTGCACCCTAAATTGTGGCCATAGAACCACAAGAAGAATGTGGCTTTGTGGATTATGTACATTTTAGTATGTTTACATGGATTTCAGTTTCTTACGAGTTAGAAAAATCTCAGAGCTCAGACTGTTCCCTCAGTTTCCTTGCCGTGTGAACACTCCTGAGTGGTCTTATAAAATGTGGTTCCTGGGCCGGGGATATAGCTCAGCAGCACAAGTGCCTGCCTCAAAGGGCAAGGTCCTGAGTTCAATTTCTAGTACAAAAGAAAAAAAGGACAAAGTGTGATTCATGGAGGCCTTCAGAGCCGTCTGTCAGCCCACCTCTCTATCCCTTGGCTTTGGCTCCCAGGGTGACCAGGCCAGATCTGACACTCCAGCCTCCCCTCCTTCCATTTGTCTGGCCTGCCAGCCTCTCCCCACACTCCACCTCAGTCCTTCCGCCTCAATCAAGTGAGTGTCAGAGCAGTCAAGTCTGCGTCAAATTCCTCTTCCAACCCAGGCCTCAGTCAACAGGTGAGTGGACTTCAGGGTGACACAGTGGCAAGATGCTGTGGGGACACAGGACAGGGACTGTGTTCCCAAGAGCACAAAGATGAGGCCATCGCCACAGGCTGCTGTTAGGGATCCTGGTGGGGATCTGCCCTGGAGGGCTCTTGCAGGTGTGGAGGAAGAGTGACCAGTTCTCTGTATTATGTTTGGCCATTCTCCCAGCACAGGCCAGGTGCCTCACCCCGAGCCCAGACGGCCGCCTGCTCCTCTGCGGGTGGCTGCAGCAGGTCCCCAGGTCAGTCCTGGCGGGAAAACAGGCTGCGCACTCCTGTGTGGGATCTTGGGCCTTTTTTTTTTTTTTTTTTTTATTTATTTTAGGGAATGGTCTACAGGGTGTTCAGGATCTCACTACCAGATCAGACTTATAGTAATCCAGGTGCTTTAATCTGCTGAGCTTTTTTTTTTTTTTTTTTTTTTTAAGTAAAAAAGTACAATTAACAAGCCTCTTTTGTAAATGGGTTTCCTTTCTATGTATAAAATCCCAGCAGTTCCTTGTTTTTACATGTTCATGCTGTGTAATTTTGAAATGTTACTGAGATTCTGAACATAATGTGCATTTTTTTCTGTACAGATGAAATGGGAGAATTTAATAAAGAGTTTGCAGGTTTGTACTTGTTAAATCTTATCTGTTTTGACTGGGAGGAATATCCCACCCCCTGCTCAGCTGGTAGAAGTTTATAGAACTGAGCTGTGACCTCAGGGTGGCCCATTATGTGCCATGAGGTAGCACCACAAGGTAGGCAGAGGAGAGGAACTGCCCCGTGTTCGGGTGCCGGGCCAGCTCTGGAAGTCCTCTCGGGTTTACCGTCGGAGGCTGGCTTGTCAGAATTGCTCATGCTGGTGCCGTGGGGACACGGGCCGGAAGCTCCCCGGCCCAGGAGACAGCCCGTTCCTGCATTAGTGGCCCTTTTCTCTGCTGCCTCTGCTCACAGCAAAGCCAGTGTGCACCTCTGTTTTGAAAGTGACTCACTCGGGAGATCTGCCCAGTAGAGGGATTGCTGAGGTAGTCACATCCATTCCGTGACCCAGTGGGGGACAGGTATGTGGTGAGAGGGAGGTGCAGCCTAGGAGGACCCCTCCTGTCTGCGTCCGTGCTGTCTCTTAAGAGATAGCCTGTGCACAAGCAGAGGTGAAGAGAGTGGCTTGGGGGGGGCCTCCTGAGTCCTAAACACAGAGTCTGGCTCCCCTCTGTTTGAGGAGCATGGTGGCAGAGGCCTTCAGCTGCTGGTAGAGGCTGCCTGGTTTTGAGCTCCGGAAATGGGGACCAGGTTTGGGGCCCCTCATCGGCAGTGCCCTCCTTTCAGGGCCTTGTGGGGTTGCTGGGTCTTGGAACCAGTAGCTGCTCCTCTGCCCTTCTGAGAGGCCCTGCAGGCAGACGAAGCACTGGCTGGGTCAGGCTGGCTGTGGACATGTGTTGTCTCGTTGTGCAGCACAGCTCTTTGCATAGCATTCACACTGTGGTAGGCATAGGAAGCGGGATGGAGGTAATGTGGAGTATACGGCAGGTTGTGTGCAGGTCACGTGCAAATCCACCCATCTCCCAGCACAGCAGAGAGCTTGCTCTGGGGGGTTCTGTGCGGGAATGGATGCACTGGCCCGCAAGTGGGAAGCCTTTGGTGGAGGCACAGGCTTGTGTTGTGTTCACCCTGTAGCCTGGGACTGGGTGTGGTGCATCAGTGCCCGGCAAGGGGCTGGGGTGCGGCAGAGCCCAGCCCAGCCAGGTGCTGTGGGCAGGCCTGGTACCCTTGCCCAGGTCTCTCTGGTCTCCTCTAAAGCATGTCTCTCCTGTGCTCCAAACCCTGCTCTCGGTCTGCCCAGACTGTCCTGACCATGCCCAGTCCTCCAGCCTTAGTCTCTGAGTGGGTGTGTTTGACAGTGGCACACGTGACAGAAGTGTCACACATCAGTGTTGCTTGCCTCCCTCCATCCTGCTCTAGCCTTCTGCTCCTGCAGCACAGCTCATGCTCTGCAGTAACTCCTGCTGCCTCCCTGAGAGACAAGTGACAGCACTGTGGGCCTTGAGGGCAGCTGTCCCCCAGCTTCATGTCAAGAGTCCAGCTTGTCCATTGGGGAGGATGCAGCCATCCACACAACAGGGACTGTCTTAACGCTTGGGTGACAGAAAAGGTATTTGGAGTTTTTTTATTGTTTGGTT